GGTTAAGAGCCCCACCACCACAGTCACTGACTGCATCTCTCATATTTTGTCATCTCTGTATGACCCTGCCTACGTGGGAGGGTTGGAGATGCCCTCCAGAGGTCCTTTTCAACCTCAGTCATTCTGTGATTCCCTGATTTTTATACAAGCAATGATTGCTGAACTTACAGAGCTCACTGTAAGCTCAGTATGAGACCTCAACTTTGGGAACCTGCTGTTGCACCCCTGTGAGAGGCCCAGCTTGTGCTGTAAGGCTTTCCAGTTGCACTGGGGAGACCTCCAAGAGGTACCTGGAGGATGCTTTGAGGAAGGATGATAATGGTGATGAACACCTAGTGCAGGAAAGCAGGGGCCCTTGCAGAAGCACAGAGATGCAGTTGGGTCACAACAACCCCATGCAACACTCCAAGCTTGGGGCAGAGTGCCTGGAAAATTGCATGGTGGAAAAGAACCTGGAAGTGTTGGCCAACAGCAGCCGAACATGTTCAATCACTATGTGCCTAGATGGCCAAGAAGGCAAATGGCCTACATCAGAAAGTGTGGCCAGCAGGACCAGGGCAGTAATTGTCCCCCTGTACTTTGCACTGATGACGCCACACATGAAGTGCTGTTTTTTGGGGCCCAGTTTTGGGCCCCTCACTTGAAGAAGGGCATTGAGATATTGAAGGTGTGTCCAGAGAAGGACAACGGAGCTGGGGAAGGGTCTGGAGCACAGGTCTGATGAGGAGCAGCTGAGGGAGCTGGGGGTGTTCAGCCTGGAGAAAAGGAGGCTCAGGGGAGACCTTGTCACTCTCTACAGCTCAAAGGAGGCTGTAGCCAGGTGGGGGTTGGTCTCTTGTCCTAGGTAATAAATGACAGAACAAGAGGAAATGGGCTCAGGTTTCACCAAAGGAGGTTTAGATTGGATATTGGGGAAAATGTCTTCACAGAAAGGGGGGCCAGGCACTGGAATAGGTTGCCCAGGGAAGTGATGGAGTCACCATCCCTGCAGGTATTTAAAAGATGTGTAGGTGTGGGACTTAGGGACATGGTTTAGTGGTGAACTTGGCAGTGCTGGGTTAGCAGTTGGACTTGATCTAAGAGGTCTTTTCCAACCTAAATGATTCTACAAGTCCATGATGGCATGGCCACTCTGGGTTGCAGCCAGCTTTTTTCCCAGAATGACTGGAACTGCTATTGCTTCTGCTGGCAGCAAGCACAGATTTATCAGTGGGTGATGGAGGCAGTAACCTTCATCCCTGCCATGTCAGGTGGAAGGGGCCAACTGCCCACACTGTCCATCTGTCCACACTGTGGCCTAGCCTGGGGCTCCCTTTGTCCCAGTGTGGGGTTTGAATGAAAAAGAGAAATAAAGAGAAACATAAAATAAGCATGTGGGAAGCATTAGATTTTTTTCAGCTTTTTTTTAAAGAGTGTGTTCCTGGGCTTTCAAGGGACAGCAGGAGGGTTTTGTCCCTACAAAGTGGGTCACAAAGTGAACGAAAATCCCAGAGTATCCTTACTCCTTAGTTTGTATTTGTTTGCAGTGATTTCAACTGGAATATTGTGCTAAAGCAAATCATATCCTGGGCTGCATTAGAAGCATGGCCAGCAGGTGATGCAGGAGCTGATGCTCCCCTTCTCTTCTGCTCTTACAGGACCTCACCTGGAGTACTGCATCCAGCTCTGAGACCTCAGGTAATGGAAAGGCATGGGCCTGTTGGAGCAGGTCCAGAGGAGGGCCACAAAGATGAACAGAGGGATGGCGCATCTCTCCTTTGAAGGCGGTCTGAGAGAGTTCATGCTGTTCACCCTGGAGAAGAAGGCTCCAGGGAAGTCTTTTAGCAGTCTTCCGGTACCTAAAGGGGGTTCACAAGAAAGAAAGAGACTTTTTACCAGGGCCTGTAGTGACAGAACAAGGTGTAATGGTTTTAAACTGAAAATTTGATAGATTTATATTAGATATGTGGCAATTTGACCTGGGCTGGATCCCAGGTGCCCACCGAAGCCAATCTATTGCTCTCCTCCTCAGCTGGACAGGGGAGAAAAAAATATAAAAACAGCCTTGTGGGTTGAAGTAAGAACAGGGAGAGATCACTCAGCAATTACCACCACTGTCAAAACAGACTTAACTTGGGGAAATTTGTTGGATTTATTACAAATCAAAATATGAGGAGGAGAATGAGAAGCATACCTAATCTTAAAAACACTTTCCCCCACCCCTTCCTCCTTCCCAGGCTTAACTTCATTCATTATTCTCAATCTCCTCCCCCACAGGAGTGCAGGGCAACAGGGAATGTGGGCTATGGTCAATTCATCTCAGGCTGTTTCTGCCTCTTCTTCCCCCTCAGGGAGAGTCCTTCCCACAGGAGTCCACAAACTTCTTCAACATGAGTCTTTCCCACAGGCTGCAGTTCTCCACAATCTGCTCCAGCATGGCTCCCTTCCATGGGGTGCAGTCCATCACGAACAGGCTGCTCCAATGTGGGTCCCTTGCAGGGTCCCAAGTCCTGCCAGCAAACCTGTTCCCCAGGGTGGCTCCTCTCCATGGGTGCACAGTCCTGCCAGTGGCTGCTCCATGCAGGCTTCCCAGGGTATCACAGCCTCCCTGGGTATCCACCTGCTCCAGCATGGGCTCCTCCATGGGCTGCAGGTGGATCTCTGCATCCCTGTGATGCTCCATGGGCTGCAGGGCACGGCTGCCTCACCATGGGCTGCAGGGGAATCTCTGCTACAGCACCTGGAGCACCTCCTGCCCTCCTTCCTCACTGACCTGGGTGTCTGCAGAGATGTTTCTCTCACATATTCTCACTCCAATCTTATCTGGCTGCAATTACTTCCATGCAATAACTTTTTCATTTCCATTCTAAATTACATTATCACAGAGGCATTGCTACCACAGCTGATGGAGTCAGCCTTGGCCAGCAGCAGATCCATCCTGGAGCTGGCTGGGATCAGCTCTTCTGGACAAGGGAGAGCTTCCAGCAGCTTCTCACACAATCCACCTTTATAGTGCCCCTGCTACCAGCCTTGCCATGCAAACCCAATACAGATATTAGAAGAAATTCTTTACTGTGAGGGTGGTCACACTATAACTGATTTCCCAGAGAAGTTGTAGCTGCCCCATCCCTGGAAATGTTTAAGGTCAATTTGGATGGGTTTTGAGCTTCTGAACAACCAGATCTAATGCAAGATGACCCTGCCCATGGCAGGGGGATAGACTAGCCATTTGTTGAAGGTCCCTTCCAACCTTTCTGTGGTTCCATGACTTGGCCATGATTTGACTTCGGGGCACTTTGCAAACCTTTAAGTTAGTAACACAGCTTCTGAGAGGTCTGGCAAGAGACTTCTGTTTCTTTTCTGATATCTAGAGCTGAAAATAAGTAACTACTTATGAGATAAATGCCCTCCAAACCCAGAGACTGGTACACAGACCAGTCAGTGAAACCAGCAGCCACAGGGCTTCTTGCTCCCTTGGTGAACAGCACCTTCCAAGCATTGGAAGGATGTCTGTGTGCCTTCAGCAAAGCTCACCCCCACATGCATGGACTGTGGGCTGGTTGGGCCTGCTGGTCTCTGCTGCCCTTGATACACAAAGCCTGATACGGTCTGGTGCCCTGTGCAAGCTTAGCAAAGCCAAAGTAAGCACTGCTATTCCAATGGAAGCTGAAGAAGTAAAAGCACAAGGTAGTGCCAGAGTCCAATACAGCACCATGTGAATTTAAAGAAATATGAAAGGGGGATAGAACTTGTTACCACTTTCCCTTTCCTATTTATCTTCTTTTAAAATTGAATGTTGAGGAGATGTGCTAAGTTTGAGGGTCCTGCTGTAACCACAGCTGTAACTCGATGTGCTTTTCACATGGGGAAAAGAAGAGAATCCAGGACTAAGTATTTCTGAGGTCTACTCAAGGTTCAGTGAAGATCTAAACACCACCTTCCTAACTGGTTTAAAGTCACATGAGCCAGCTGTCCATACCCTGAAGGCATCAAGGTCATGCCAGTGAATAGAAGTGACTACTAAAGGTTCCCTTTCTGCTCACTGAACCCAGGGGAGAGCTGAGCTGAGCTGAGCTGGGCTCAGCCCAGTGAAGTGAAGCCAAGCCTGGCCCAAGGATTCTCCACTTCCCTGACTGAGCTGAAGGAGCCTTCCTATTTCCTCAGCAGCTTCTTTGGGTTTATACTCACCACCTACCTATGGAAATGGGGATGGGGACTCACACCCACTTACTCTGTGCAGCAGAGCAGACTGTGTGGAGATGGATTACTTTCATCTTGGTGATTGTGTTTTACCTTTTGATGCCCTGGATGTTTATTCCTTTATCGTGTATTAATTATTGGCATTCTCTAGGCTTCCTTCTGTCCTAATCTGATTTAAAACAGACATTTGCATTTGAAAAGTAGCTAACATGTATAGCAAATCCTTTCCCTTGGTTTGCTATTAATGCAGGCAGCTTTGATGTATTATATTAATGCTGTTTGCCAGGGGTGAAATCAGCACACCACCTATGGAGAGGCACTTCCTTGGTGAACCTACTGCTTTTACCCACAGGCAAAGCATCTACCTACCCTGGTGAAAAACCTGGGTGCTGACTGCAGCAGCATGGTCACACAACTGCTCCTCTCCCTGCTGCCTTCCACCCGGTTTTGGGAGGCTCAGAGGCTCTGCACTGTGCCCATGATGACCTAACCTGAGGACTGGCCACCTCCATGGCAATGGAGGAAGTGAGAGCTAAATGCACAGCAGGGCACCAAACCAGCAGCTGAGGGTTGTGCAGGGAATGAGGCAGGCAAATGCAGGGGAATTCCTGGCCAGAAGAGGACTGGGTGAGATCAGGATTTGCCTGATGGTCTTCCTGAGGGTTGTACGCAGTGAGGCTGAAATGCATGTGTGCTTCAAAATGATCCAACTTTTATGTAGCAATATCTCAGCCAGTTGAGGAATAAACTAAATCAATCCTCTGGTGAGTTCAGTACCAGTATTTCCTTCATTTCCTTTTTTTCAAATGTTTGTTTTTTTATTTTACTGTATCACTTACATAATGTAAGGCTTTTGGGAAGTTGTCCTAACCCTGCCTGATCTGTTTGAGCTGGTGCAAAGGGCATATGGAGCTGCTGCTGTAACCCCCTCAGGCTGGGTTAACTGCACTGGGTGATTGGCACAGGACAGGTGACCAAAGGAGCAGTGCCCAGCCTGCTCAGGTGACAGTAGCAGAGGTGGCTCAAGCCACCAGCCTCAATCCACCATGGCTGCTTGTGCAGGTTTTCCCTCTGCTCCGCTGAGGTCTGACAGCCAAACTGCCTGGAGCAGCCTTTCCTCACCCTGCTCTGGCATGATATTCCAGATCAGCTGTGACTCTTGGAATGGGAGGGTTTGCTCACCTGGCTCCTGCTAGCAGGGCTGGGTGAGAAGCCGTATTTCTGTGTGGCAGAGCTGGGGAGGGGATGGGCTTTGGCAAGAAGCAGTGCCAAGCAGTAGGGTCTGGAAACCAGGCTCTCCCAGAACAGCATGTCTCATCATGGCATTAGTTAAAAAGAAACAGCTCAAAGTAAACTTGTTTCTTCTAAAATGCTCACATATAGAGTTTTGCACCATGTTGACTTGGTTTGAAAAGCATTTTAGTTAAATTATTGCAACTGCTGCCTCTGGACAAAACTTAAAGAGTTTCCAGAGCTCATTTACCAAAGGGGTTGGAAAAGTTATTTCAAGTTAACAGCCTACATTACAGTAGTAGTTATTTGAACAGGTGGGGACTGGGGGAAGTAGGGACATTAGCCAAATCATGAATCATGAGCTAATCAGATTGCCACCCATGTTTGCACCAAAAGAAAAGCCATGCACGAAAATACACACATCACCAGCTACAGAACTGACTCAGCAAGGACCCTACTTTTTTGGGGTTTTATTGGGGTAAATGCTAAACTTTGATTTGGTAGGGGCAGGAGATCTCTCTGGAAGCCACCAGGGAGCCTGTTTCCCCTCTGACAACTCTGAGGGTGTGGGACTTTTGGTACCGTTTGCTCCTCACTGCATTTCTGCTCCATCCAAGCAGGGAGAAGTCTGGGGCCTTGCACTCTTTAATAAGGTCTTTTCTACCTGCCCTTGGATTTGAGGGTCTTTCCACAGGTGAGCAGGAAAAGCAATTTCAGATATCCCAGGAGGGCACCTCAGGACATCCATAGCCTCTACCTCCTGCAGGGAAGCTCCTCTCTCTGGTGCAGTAGGATGTATTTGGCTGTCCAGGAAGAAGTGGGTCACAGAGCTGTTTCTTGACCCATCCAAAACCCAGACAAAGGGTTGTGCAGAACCATGCCATGGCCCAGCTATGCTGGGAAGCAAGAGCTGCAGCAGCTCTGCATTGGCTCTACACTGGGGTGGGGGTTCATCTTCTCCCGGAGCACAGTCACCGAGAAGTTCCTAGAGTGAAAAAAATTTGAGATTTAACTGGATTTAGAATAAAGTAAAATAAAACTACACTATTGAAACTCTGTTGATGTTAGTGAAAATCCTTGTGTCTTAGAAAATCAGATCTAAAGTGCTGAGACTGCTGGCAGATACTTTCCACACACTGTTTGTGTGTGCAGTGGAGAAAAGTGCTTGTTTGGTGCTGATTGCAGACTATGGAATAAGAGCAATTTCTCATCCCACCTCCACAGAAGCTATTTAAATAGTTCTACACCCACTTTGAAAGATGCTCAGTTAGAAAGGAGTAAATCTGGAAGTTATTACTCCTCAAAGAAAGAAACGCCAATAAACAGGCTCTGCTAAGGCTGCCGGTGCTCTCGGGGACAGGAGCCTTCCCCCCGCCAGGCTGCCTCTGCAGTGGACAGTTATTATTAGGCAGCCTGCAGAGCAAACACGCGCTGCGGGAAAGAGCCCTTGGAGCTGACCCTTTGTCCCACTGAGGCTCGGGGCCAAAGCCCAGCTGGCTACATGCAGGCTCCTCGCAGGCTGCACGAGCCCCCATGTGCTCTCCATGCAGCACAGGAGCGAAGGGAACAACCAGCAAAACCCAAGGATGTGCCAGGAGAAGCAAGAGGAAGAGCGCTAATTAAAAAAGCCCTTATGAAACACTGGGGACAGAATGGTGTCATGTGCACTCATTCAATGCCTCCCTTTCCCTTCCTTGGGCATTGCTGGCCACAAACTCACTCACAAAGTGAAAGTGTTTGCCAGCTCTTTCCCAAAACTGGAGGTGGAGATTTAACCCATGCAGGGTTAAATCTGGGAGGATGCTGCCCACCACCCAGCCGCTCTCCTGCTGCCCATGTTTCCCTGTGCTAGACCTCCTGCCTGGCAGGACAGGGACGGAAGAGGCCCTTCCTCAGAGCAGTTGTTGGCCAAGTCTCTTCCTGGGGGATATGGAGGGAAAAGTTAAACTGAGGTGGGGAATTGGGTCAGCTCTGTGCAGGGAGAGCCAGGTGGGACCCAGGAACCTTACTGCTGGTCACCCCCAGGTCACCTCTGTGGGACTCAGATTCAGTCAAAGGAAAGAAACCGTGAGTTTCTAGCCAGGTAAAAAGCCTGGGAAAGAGCTGGGAAAGAATGTAAATAATTCTTTATCTCTCTTGTTCTCACATTGTTTATAGTTAAGTCCTATCACTGTGCGTCAAGCACTCTGCACCAATGGTGTAAGTTGTTTTCACTTCAGAACCAATGGATTTGGTCTTTGCGAAGCTCTGTATAAAAGAGCAGTGTATTTTGAATAAATCGAAGTTTTACCCTCAGCAGCCTTCTGAGTGAGTCTTCTCATTCCCGTCCTGTCTTGACAGCGACAACCTCCAGTCCTGGTCACACCTGAGAGCAGGCATTCAGGCAGTCCAGGAGCTTTCCCACCCCCACCACTCTAGATGTTCATGGATTTAAGCTGTTTCCAAATTAGCTTGGACCCAAAGAGAGACTTTTATGAATTGATGCATTCAAAATAGCCACAGAGCACTAAATCCTCAAATGAATCTCATACAATGCTACTGTCACACCCAGCTGCTTGTACTCAGACCCTCAGCACTGCCATCCTGTTCTGTAACCAACACACCAGGGTCCCGAACCTATAGCAAGTTTTAGGCAATGTCTTGTATGTCTCTGGCTTTTGTCCAGCAGAGTTCTGCTTTGAGATTAAGATCTTAGTATTTATAAGCCTCTGGTTTTACTATCTGTGTAATATTCTGGTAAATTAGGTGCCTGCACTGCTATCCCTCCAACACACCTGAAAATCTCACCTTCTTAACAAAGGGCAGTTACATTTTTCCTTAAAAATAAACTAATTATAAAATCACTGTGATTTTCTCACATTTAAACAGCCAATTATTTCTGAGGATGTGAGAAACTGAGAAACAGCTGTTGCAATGTTGAAGCTCAAACAGTTACATCTCTGCTATTTTAATGGGTAAGAGTCAATACTTTTATTCCCATGTTATATTACCAAGACATGATAAGCAACCATGGCATTAGTATAAATTTGTGGAGCAAAGATCACTTCAATTTGCCCCAATGAGGAATAATTTTAACAGAAAATTAGCACTCCACAAACAACTATTTTTTGTTCCCTCTCTCCCTTTTTTTTCCCCTCTTCATTTTTTGATAAAGCACCACAACCCTGGGTAAGGGCAGCTTGAAGGCAGAGATAGTTTTTAAGGCAGCCTTAACTCTTTCCAGACGGGGGGGGAGTGGACTTCAAAAAAACGCTTTTCAGAGTTTAACTTGGTGTGGTTGACCACTGAATAAAGGGAGAGCACTGACTTTGCCTCTCACCAGAAGGTGAACAAATATGAAATAGGAGTCAGCTCCTCTCCCACGGCCTTCAAGTGAGGACTTCTGCTAAAAGCTTTGCTCTTCAATCTTCGTATGATCACCCAAACCAAAGTGGCATCTGCAGGTACTTGGCATCTGTAGAAATCAGGCTTATAAATACAGAGCCAAGCCTGGAGCTCCAGGCCACTCGTTATGCAAGGCTTTGCTTTAATCTTTGGAAATACTTGTTGCACTTAGCCAGGGGAAAGCATGTGTGCGGCACAAAGAATGGTGATTTGAGCTAAGCATGGAACAGAGTAACAATTTTTAATTGCACATGTGTCTGTCAACAAGCCCTTTCAAACATTTTAGCTCCATTGTATTTTTATCCTTTTTCCCCTAGGATCATGACACACTTGACAGTGGTGATAAACCAGCTTTCATGCTGTTCTATTAGCCAAGAAATTATTATCAGTCCCATTTAGCTGGAAATGTGAGACCCACAGGTAGTCTAATACAGTGATTACCCCAGGTAGCTACCTATAACGTGCCAGTCTCAGCAGGAGAGTCTCATTCCACCCCTCAGAAAGGATGCTCTCCTGGAAATTGTGAGGGTGATTTTAGGTCTCCTACTAGGGCAAACACTTTAAGCATGGTGTTACCAGATCAAAAAAAAAAAAAAAAAAAAAAAGGGGGGGGAAAGGGACAGGTGAGAGAGAGTGAGAGCACTTTCCTCTTATATTTTGAGTGGATTTCAGTGCAAGAAGTAAGTTCCTATTTTCAGATTTGGTACTCAACAGCATCAAAACTAACATGCACTCAAGTGTGTGAAGCACTAGGAAATTTTTCACAGTGGAAGTTACCTTCAGATTTAAGTGACAGCTGAGCCAGGAACTCTGAGGAATTACTTTTTGAAGGCATCTAAAGCTATAGCTGGACACCAAGAGAGACCCAAAAATGAGGAGCCAACACTAATGTGCCTCTCTAGGAATTTGGCCCCAAGTGACTTGCCACAGATTGAGCAGGTGTTAAGTTACAAAGTCATAAATAGAAAACCAATTCCCTCTCCTGGCCTTTCATTTAAAGGCTTGGACAGATTCCCAGACAACTGTCTGCCACATGAAGATATAAATTATTTAGAAGAGTGCAAAGGGTAATGAACCAGGGTCAAAAGCCACCTGCAAACTTGCAGACCCTTAGAATGCAGCAGTGGCCAGAGCAAACCTGGGGTTGGTTACTCATGTTCTTGCCACATGGATACACTGAAATACACTTTCACCACTGATTCTTCCTCATCTTCAGGCAGAATTTCTATTACACACTGGTTTCTGCTCCATCATCTACCTGCCAGGTGGCAGCTGCAGGCAGAAAAAGGTAGGCTTCCTTTTCTGGAGTGCTCAGCCTCCAGTGCCTGCCCAGGCTGTAAATAACGCTCCAGCCAAAGAACTGAAGGCTGGCTGTGTGATTCCTGCCACGCTGCCCACAGCGCCTGAGCACCAGCAATGAAGTGGGCTGGACACAGGCTGATTTCAGTCCGGAAAGTTATGAACAGTGTGTGATGGCTGTTCTAGAAAGGTCTTCAAAAAGGCAACTGGTCACCATAGCCACTCTCGCCCCAGTTACAGGCACACACACACATCTCCTGGAGTAGGTTCTGCCTGGCACAATGGGATCCAGATCTCTCTGGAGCAATCAGACTGTAACTCAGAAATCCTACAGATAAAACCTGCTAGTGGTGATCTGTAGAGGTTTATTTATCTGTGGTCTAAAATGACAACCTCATTGCCTTTCTCCAGATGCAAATATTTCAAACCTGAAGTATTCACTGGTGCTGTGAAGTCAGAAACAGTGTGGGTACCTCAAGTGCAGGGCAGTTCAGCTGGAAACCCATCAGCTTTCACTTCCCTTCTACACTTCCCTATTGCAGGGAGCAGCACCATGGTACCACAGGCTCACCAGCATTGCATCCTCAAAATCAGTTTGCAAGTTACCATCCTTGGCACAGGCAGCAAAGCTCACAGACTTCGTTTTTTGTTTGAAACTGGTCCCCAGAGGCTTAATTTGCAGAGCAAATTTGCAGTAATGGGATTCCAGATTCCACCTTCCTGTGCCTGACAGAAGATGCCTCTGCGAGCTGCCTTGATTCACCTTTCAAAAAGCTGACCTCTTTTTTCCTGAACAGCATCTCAGTTCTGGAATGTGAGCTGTGACAAATGTTTCAGAGAAAGCTACAGGGCTAAAGAATAGATTAATACTTGATCACACTTCCCCACTATTGGGTCATTGTCCAAAATTTTTGACTCCTGTACCTAAATCGATACCAGCCACAAATATGACTTCATTCTCAGAATCTGACTTTTTCTTATTATTCCCAACTACTTCCTGCAAGTACTCCCCACAGTCAAATTATTTTTGAAGGGAACTGTCTTATCTTGGCTCCACACTTGGAGCCAAGTGTGGCTTGACCCACATTTTTCTATCAGTAACGCACCTTTCCATAGTAAGCTCTCACCACATTTCCTGAAGACACACTATCTTCACACACATTATACATTTCTCTTCCTCAACACAGCATCAGTGCAGGGAGAAGAGGAAAGGACACAACGGCAGCCTCAGCTCATTCTTGGGACATGCATGGAAGAGTGCAGGGGTAGGGAAGCTTTTGACTGATGCAAGGTTTCTGTGCCTCAGGTGGTGTAAGACTCCTCTACATCTGTCAGCTGGAGAGGGGAACTGCAATGCAGGAAAGGCAAATCTGTTACACTTTTAATATAGGATATGAGCAATAAGGAAAGCACGCTGGGACAGACTTTAGCATCAGATAGTTACTTGACATCCGGGGTCTTGTGCAAGCACCTTGAAGCCCATCCCAGGTAATTTCCCCACTATTATTTGCTGAGCTAGCAGGACTGAAACAGACACATTCATTGGCACTGCAATCATCCCTTCCAGCACCGTGGGTGCCAAAAGAAGTTGGGGCCCCAGCTGTGTCCTGTCATCCCTCCAGCCTGGGTTCACCAAACAGGCCATCCCGCCTGAGTGATGAGGGCTCTCCCAGAACACAGGCTGCTGGCGATGGAACTGAGTGCCAAGGAGGGGATGAGGTTAAGCTCAAATACGTAGCTGCAGGGATGGCTGGGCACTTAGGCAGCTCTCTACAGACCACTCGTTTATCAGCATCGTTTTGCTGCCGGCCAGCCCCGAGGAGCGGCCTCAGCGGTGCGGCGGGCCTGCTCGAGGGGATGCCGACCACAGCGCATCCCGGCCGGCGGTGGCGGGGGCGCGACCACGGCCCCCAGCCCTGCCCGCAGCACTCTGAACGCTCGTTACCAAGCGCCTCCTTACTGGGGTTTTGGGTCTCAGCCCCGGGTTGGGTCTGTTCCCTCGGGACCCCTCCAGCACAGCGGCGCCGCACTCGGCAGGGGGCGGCAGCGGCGGCGCCGGCACGGCCGGCGGAGAGCCGGCTCGGGGCACCCTCGGCCGGGGCTGCACCAGCAGGGGGGCAGGGGGGCAGTGGGGCAAGGAGCACCTGAGGCACTGGATGCATCCCGTGGCTCACTGGATGTCGCCCCGCGGGGCAGCCCCGAACGCGGGCGCGTCCAGCACCCACCCGGACCCCTCAGCGCCGCCCCAGCAGCGGCGCCCCGCGCCCGCCGGGTTATGAATGGGCGCGGCGGAAGCCCCGCCCCCCCCGGACGTGACGCCCGCCAATGGGGGCGCGGGGTGCGCGGCGGGGTGAGGTCAGCGCGCGGGGCCGGGGCGGGGGCGGCGCGGGCCGGGTGCGGCGGGCGGGGGTCGCGGCCCCGGGCGGGCGGGGTGGGCGAGCGCGGCGCTCGGCGGCCGCTGCTGCCGCGGCCCGGGGGAGGCGGGGAAGGAAGGAGGGGCGAGCAAGAGAGGGAGGAGGAGAAAAAAGAGAGGGAGGAGGAGAATAGGAGGGTCCTCGCCGCCGCTGCTCTGTCCTGGGGGCCATTCAGCGGGAGCGAGGCGAGGAGCGAGCGAGCGACGCCCGGGCCAGGCGTGGGGCGCCGGGCGATGCGGGGCTTCGTCAGGCTGCGGCGCGGCGGCCGCGGGCTGTGAGCCGGCGGGGCTGGGCCGGGCCGGGCTGGGCTGGGCTGGCGGCGCGGGGCGGAGAGGGGTGGGCGGGAGCGTGGCGGAGCCGAGCGCCGGCAGCGGCGGGAAGGTGGGAGCGGCGCTGCCCGGTGCCCGCCCCGCGCGGGGGGCCGGCCCTGAGTGCATGCGGGGCGCCCCGCCGGGCCGCCGCCGGGCCGCCGCCCGCCGCCCCTGAGACACCGGCGGCGAGAAAGTTGCGGCGGTCGCCCACATGCGCGGCCGCGGCCGGCGGCTTGGGGAACGGCGCCGAGCGGAGGTGGGCGAAGAGAGTTTGAAGCGCTCGCCGGCGGGAAGATGGCGGAGCGGAGCTGAGAGCGGCGCCCGGCGAGCTCGGGCTGCCCCCGCCTTCCTCCGCAGCCCCCCGGACCCCCGCCGGACACATGCAGGCCAAAAAACGCTACCTGACGCTGCTCTCTGCCGGCACCTGTCTTGCCCTGCTGCTCTACCTGGGAGGTGTGCGGCTGCGGGCGGCCCGGCACCCGCCGCCCGGTAGCCGGCATGGCCCGCGCCCCGGCGGCGCCGAGCGGCCCTGGCCCCGCTTCCCCGACGCCCTGCGGCCCTTCGCGCCCGCCGAGCGCCCGGGCCCCGAGGGCGGCGGGCGCGTCTCCCCCCGTCAGCGGCGGGACTCCAGCGCCGGCCTCTACCGCGGGCGCCGCTGCCGCATGGAGTCCTGCTTCGACTTCGCCCAGTGCAGGAAAAACGGCTTCAAGGTCTACGTGTACCCGCAGCAGAAGGGGGAGAAGATCGCTGAGAGCTACCAAAACGTCCTGGCCGCTATCGAGGGCTCCCGGTTCTACACCTCGGACCCCGGGCAGGCCTGCCTCTTCGTCCTCAGCCTGGACACGCTGGACCGAGACCAGCTCTCGCCTCAGTATGTGCACAACCTCCGCTCCAAGGTGCAGAGCCTCCACCTGTGGAACAACGGCAGAAACCACCTAATTTTTAATTTATACTCTGGTACCTGGCCCGACTACACTGAGGATGTGGGGTTCGACATTGGCCAGGCTATGCTGGCCAAAGCCAGCATCAGTACTGAAAACTTCAGACCCAACTTTGACGTTTCTATCCCGCTCTTTTCTAAGGATCATCCTAGGACAGGAGGGGAGAAGGGATTTTTGAGGTTTAACACCATCCCTCCTCTCAGGAAGTACATGTTGGTATTCAAGGGGAAAAGGTACCTGACGGGGATAGGGTCAGACACCAGGAATGCCTTATATCACGTCCATAACGGAGAGGATGTTGTCCTCCTGACCACCTGCAAGCATGGCAAAGACTGGCAAAAGCACAAGGATTCGCGCTGCGATCGAGACAACGCCGAATACGAAAAGTAAGTGAGCGGTGCCCTTTCCCCGTGCTTGTATCCTCGGGGGATGCCGGCGTGCCCTGCGCTGCAGGCGGCCCGGGCCGCGGGCAGATACGAGCAGATGTGTGCCAGTGCGCTGGCGGTGGCCAGAGGACGGCGTTCATCGCTCCTCTGGGCGAGCCGGTGTTTCCTCCTGCCAGCCGTGGGGCTGCCGGCTGGCTCGGTGTACTCGGCCGGGGGAGCTGGCGGGAGGCACGGAAGGGCGCTGCGGGGTCCTGCAGCCTGGTGGCTTTCCAAGCCTTGCCGGCGGCGGAGGTGCTGTTGGGGGATGCGCTGGCATTTGGCACTGCTTTTTGTGTCCCCAGCGCCTCTTAGGCCAGATGCCCTGTGCCTTCCCTGCCCTGAGACAAAGTTTGTACGAGTGCTCAGCTCTCTCCAGGTCGCATGTGAGCCAGGCTCCCGAAGTGAGTTGGTTGCTGAGGGTGATGGCTAGGATGCCCTCTACAAAAAGCACTGCCTGGCGTGTGACCTGTGTGTATCTCCACAGACAAGCCAGTAACTTGCCTTGCCGTTTTTCACCTCTCAGTTCAAACCATCACAGTATCAGTGAAGGAAGGAATGTTGGCTGTGTTTGTGTCCTGTGTCTGAGTTTCTCGGTTTTATATGTCAGAGGATACACCAGTGATGCGAGCTCAGTGTGTGCTTCTGTGAGCACCTGGTTGCTTGCCTTTCCTCGACTTTTATTTTTATTTGTTGGTAATGTCACTGTGAAGCCAAATTTCGTCTCGCTGTACTGCTGCCCTTGTCTTCCAGTCTGCTTTTCAGGTTTGTATATATAGCTGCCGGGAAAATCGCTTCTGGGAATTACCTCCACGATTGCAATGCTGACTAAGCTGTTTGCAGCTGATTAGTTTAAATGCCGACCACCGCTATGTTTGCTGCGGAATAGGTGCCTGTATATGAAGTTTTTCACATGAGACTATTTCCTGGGTAGCATGAATTACACACTGAATTAAAAGAGGCCAGCCGTACACATCACAGCGCTGAGTGATGTGCAGTGGAGCTGCGCCCAGAGCAGCCAACGGCTGGAGGGTTTTGTGGTGCACAGGGGAACGTTGGTGGAAAAATACTCCTAGAGAGCTTTGGGGAAGAAACTACGTTGGCATTAATACTGGTGAAAATTTCCGACTGGCTGTCTGTTTCTCCACCGAAACTATCCCCGGGGGGTTGGGAAGAGACCGGGAAGGTCAGCATTGCAAAGTCGAGAAGCCTGCATGAACCGCCTGGGTGAACTCTGCTCACCTTTTGGTTACTGTAATTCTGCTGCAGAGGAGAGGAAAAAGCAGTGCCAATGCTCAGTGGGCTTTTAATCCCTTTCATTTTCAGAACACTGATGGGCAAGTGGTGAAATAATGCACATGTGGAAGTGATACAGCATCAGTGCCAGATGATCAGTAGAGATACTAAACTAAGCTCATGTTATTTGTCACCTGGGAGTCCCTGTGGCTTGTGATCTCCTTCAGGGAATATATGCTTTGGGAAAGAAGGGAGACCTGACAATTTCAGACTTTCAGGGTGCATTGGTTTTTGGTTTTAGATCTGAGCAATTGGAGCTAATTTACAGATGGGAAAAATCCTGGTTATTTGCTGTATACTACTGTGTGTGTGCTGTCAAGCTGTCATAAAACCAAATATACCTGCCTGTAGCTTCACGTGAGTCCAGTTTTTTTACAGCTGTGCCATTTGGTCTAATAAATGCTCCCCCTAAAGTGTCTTTGCCACTTATTGTGGTGGGATTTGTATATAGCAACCTTCAGGGGGTACGATAGCATGTACCCATCTGTACCCACTATGCTGTGCTAGTCATACAAAAAACATACTAGCCACTAGGATGCGGCTGTATCTGGAGTGGGGGGCTTCAACATTTGTTGCAATGTTGCTGTTAAAAGACAGGAACTAAAAACTGATGCTATCAAGAAAATAAGATCACTCTGAGAACTGAGGCAAGCTCAGTCTGTGGTCAAGCTGCTGAGGTGAAGGGATTTGCTCTAGCGAACAGCTGCAGATGCTGCAACTCTTTGACCCCACATCTTACTGGAGTGAGGGCACCTGGCAGAATTTGCTGCTGCCCCTTCTCACTTGTGCCTCGGTGCCGATGCACAGCCGAGTGTGCCATCTGCTGCTCTCCCAGCACCGTGTCCTGCCAGGGCCTGTGTCTTCTCGCCCCTCTGTGCCCGTAGGGACCATGCCTAGTGCTCCAGTCCCTTTATAAAATATGCTAGGGTCGCATCCCCAAGGTAGCATGACACAGCTGTCCGGTTGAAATGCTTCTGTGCTGATGTGTAAGTCAGCTGTGAAAGCTGTGGAAGGAATTCCATTTTTCAACCCACTTAAAGCAGCATCCGATCATCAATGAGGCTCACTTGGAAAGAAGTGTCTCTAAATAGATCTGGGCCTTGAAAACTGCACATGGAGTGGCTCTTGTGAGGCATTTGGGGCTTGGATTTAACAATGCATCTTCAAGGTTTTAATCAAAAAGAAGGAAAAACATACTCTCCAGGATACGTCTATTGGCATGTATTGGGATTGGGAGTTGCATATTGTGCTTTTCTGTACTGATTTTCCTATCCTCTGCTGTGATATTTACACATCTCCATGTGAAATACAGTAGTGTAGGTGCCCTGGCCATGGAGAGCTGGCCTTGAGAAAGCAGTGCTTGCCAGGGTGATGTATGAATGGTGTGGTCTAGGTTAGAGGCCTTGCCAAGCCAGGTAAATGAGGTGAATTTTACATTCTGTAAAATTTGCTAGCCTTGTGGTGTTAGCAGGGTGGTGGTGTTATGTGTTGGGCATGGGGCTGCACAGATCACAAGTTACTTGTGATGGGGTTTCATCTAGGATGTAACATTTGGTGTTGGGTTCACATGAGGTTCACCTGTCTGCTGGATGTGGTGTTTCCTCTCTAGGAGATTGAAAAAGCCAAGAAGGGTGACTTCCTGACCTCTGAAAAAATGTGTAGAGTGTCTTTCTTTGTTTGGGGAAAGCATGGATGGGCATGTGTGTATTTGACTGTCTCTGTGAATTGTAT